GCTGAAAGCCTTCCATCTAAAATCAGGAAAAAGACAAAGATGTCATTATCACCACACTTGTTCAGCATAGTCCTTGAAACATTGGCCAGAGCAATCATGAAAGAGAAATAAAAGGGATATATATAGAAAAAGATGAAGTAAAAATGTCATTATTTGCAGATGATGTGACCCTTTACTGAGAAGACTAAAAAAAACTACCAAAGAGACTTGTAGAACTGATAACCAAATTCAGCAGTGTATCAAGATACAAAATAAACACACAAAAACCCATAACATTCCTATACACTAAAATAAGGAACTCACAGAAAAAGAAATTAGGAAAAAAATAGCATTCACAGTAGCATCAAAAAGATTAAGTACTTGGGTAATAACCTAACTAAAGACATGGAAGACGTCTAAAATGAACATTACATCAGATTGAAAAAAGACAAGTGAGGAGGACATTAGAAAATAGAAAAATATCCTGTTTCTGATTAGGCAGAACCAACATAATCATCTTACCCCGGAAAGAATCCCAAAACTGATATACAGATTTAATGCAATCTCAATCAAAATATCAATGTCATTTCTCACAGAGCTAGAGAAAACAACTCTAATGTTTATATGAAATCAGAAGCTACTGCAAAGAGTTAAAGCAATCCTGAGTAGCAAGAGCAAAGCAGATAGTATCATAATTCCAGACTTGGAGTTACATAAAAAGTTACAGTGATTCAACAGCATCGCATAAAACACACATGTGGATCAGTAAACAGAAAAAAGAAGCAGAAACAACCCCAGGCCCATACAGCCATCATCAAAGGCAAGGACTTTCTGAGAAATAGGATCATAACTAATTTAAAAAACTTATGCACAGCAAATGAAACAACTAAGATAGAGAAGAGCTAAGCTACACAATGGGATGAAAAGTTTTGCTACCTAGTTCATGACAGAGGTCTAACATCAAGAAATATGTAAGAAATTTAAAAAACCCAATATAAAAATGGGCATCTGAAATGAAGACATTTCTCAGAAGAGATACAAATGACCAATAAATATATATAAAAAATTTATCATCTCTGGTCATCAGAAAAATGCAAATTAAAACTACACTGAGATTCCATCTTATCCTAGAAAGAATGGATGCCACCAGAAAAATATCTAATAGGAACAAATGATGGTGAGATCCTGGAGAAAAAGAAACTCTTCTATATTGTTGATGTGAATGTAGACTAGTGCAACCACTGTGGAAGTCAGTATGGAGGTTCCTCAAATATCTAAAAATAGAAATTCATTTTGACCCAGCTATTCTCCTTATCGGTATCTCCCAAAAGTCTTAAAGTTATCATATGACAGGAATAGATGCATATTCACATTTGTAGCGGCACAATTTGCAATAACTAAATCTTGGAAACGATCCAAATCATCCATATCTTAGTTCTTTGAAAATAAAGATTTGCAATATTATGTTAGTTCCTTTTTTGTAAGACTTTTTGGTTTATATCTTCTATAGATATAAACTAGAGAAACTACTCTGAAGATAATGATATACATTATAGTATAACTATTATTTGATACTGAAATATAGTTTTATTTTTTAATAAATTAGAAAAGAAAAAAATCTAACAGCTGTTGGGACAAGTGTAATTAAAACTACAACATCTTAGTTTGCAAGTTTATTCACCTCGATATTCAAAAGCACAATTTTTTCCTCTACATGAAAGAAGAGTCTAGCTTAGAGAAATAATAAAAATGCAAATGGTTATTCAAAGCAGTATCTCTTATAAGGAAAAGAAAGGAACAAATCAAATCTTTAAAATAAAGCAGCATGGATCTTCAATAAAAATTAACAGCTCAAAGAAGTCAATTCATATTAAAAAATTCTCAAAACTGAATGATATGGTAGTTATAACTAAGTTATTCAATACATATGACCAGGATAATTTGTTTATTAAGAACTGAAATGGTAGAAAAGCAAACATGGAGTACAAATATTGATTAAATGTACATGAAAATATTTGGAACTAGTTACAGACAAAAATGTAATAAGAAAGCAGACACTAGGGTGAAAATACACTTCTCATAGAACTGGAAAATTGGAAAGAAGAATAAAAATAAATAATTTGATAAAGAAAATCTTTACTTTTTGAAATAAGGAGTTAAGATAATCTGGGAGGATTAAGGATATACAATGATGCTAGCATACACACACGTTTACACACCATAACATATACCAGAAAACTCATTTAATATAGAATACATCAGATTACAAAACTGTATACAAAAGAATATGACACATAAATTCTATTACCAAAATGCTATTCTACTATGACAATAAAAGACACAGTCAGATTTATGCATGGATTCTGAAAGCAAGACATTAAATATATTGAAAGAAATATGAATTTATTGTAATTATACAATAGCTGGATCACCAAATGAATTATATTAAAATGAAAAATGAGGCATTGACAAACCATGAAACAGCACTCGTATGTCTTGGAAAATGCAATGCAAATATCAAGTAATGAAACCTAAAGAAATGTTAGATATGTTCAGTGAAAAACAAATACATCATAGATTATTTTGATATCAATTCAAGATGTAAAAGATATTAAGAGAGAAATCTTGGAATTTATAAAATGAGTAAAGTTCATTTATAAAATTTTATTTTTATAGCAATAACAAAATCAGAAGACAAATTAATAGAGCATCACATTTGCAACATACAGAAAAGAAAGATTTAATCCACAGAGCAAGTAAACTCCTGGAAATTGATAGAGGTAGAAAAAACAAAAGAAAAAATAAAACAGAGATTGAAAGTAAAGAACCCAAATCTAACAAATAAACATAAAAACTCAGAAGAAAAAACAAAATCTGAGTTAAATGGCAAAACTGAACACACTCCATTTCTTCAAGACAAAAACTTCAAAGCTGCATGAACAAGATGATACATACTTTTGTGACCCAAGATAAATAAGCTGTGTAACAGAATATGCAAAATTGTACCATTTATTTCATTTGCAATGGCTGTTTGATTGTGTCAAGTTGAGTAAGAGAAGCTCAAACTCAACTAAGTTGGCTAAACAATTCCATACCCACGGACGTGGAAGACCCACCCTAGAGTGAATTGCCCCATAGATGCTATAAACAGTAAACAAAGAATGACAGATTTGCTTCTGTCCAGGCTTTGCCTTCACTTTGGATGTCACCTACTGGCTGCCTGTACAGACTCTTCAGCTTCCGGTGCGATCTTCTACCTTTCAGGTGTAGACTCTTTCCTCTTCCACTGAAGACCCATCAGCCTCCTTCTAAGGACTTGCCTGGGACACTGCAGTGAGTGTCCAGATCTTCGACTAGATCCTTCAGTCTCCAGTGCAAAAAGACCCTCTGCACTCTTCCACATCTGACTCTGTGCGCAGCACTCTAAGCCAAACTTATAAATTCTTAGGTATTTGTACATTTTGCATTATATCTATTTCTCTAGTAAACACTGACTGATATACCATTTAAAGTAAGACTCAAAGCATTATGAGTTTTATAGACCTCAATATTAACAGATGAATGAGAATAAAACAGACTTTATGAAGCACTGTAATTATGATTGGCAATGAGCATAAGAGAAGTGAATTAGTCTGGAAATTCGAATAATGAGATTTCACTATTATCTGCCACATACATTCTTTGTTTTAAATATGTAAACAAAATGCTTATACCTACAGCAATCATTGGAGGAATCTAAATGTTATTATTCTCAGATTTTTTTGCATTGTTAGCCGTTCAACTGAAAAACTGTAATAAAGTATAAACTCTGAATAAGCAGCCTCACATAGGAAAATCCAAAACTCTAAACTCAGACACACAGAAATTGAAATGAAGATGAAAAAAAATTTCAGCACATTATGCATGCTTTTGGGGATCTAAATTGCTATTATTGCTTCAGAAAGTAATGTGCTTTTGAGGTTGTTCAGATTAACTCAGTTTATACTTTGATCCAGAAAGTTTGTAAAACAAAAACTCTGTAGACTTATGTACCTATAAGAAAATGTGTGTAGATGTTTATTTCAGAAATTTATTATTTCAACCCTTTTAATAACTTAATTATCTAAGAATTTTATATACTATGGAATTGTATCTACCAAACAAATGAGTTAAAATTACATGGAGGAAAAGCACTATAAATTACTAAATAAGAACTGCTAGCTTAACACACCACCTGTTTGTGAAGAATAAAGTAGTTTTCACGAATTTCCATGTTTTATGTAAAGGAAATCTTAAAGTATGTCAAAAGGTATAAAAGATAACATGGATTTCCTTATAGGGTGAAAATGGGAGAAAATTAATAGATTAAAAGTATATACTGTAGCAAAGTGAGGAAAATGGTTTTGCAAAATTAAGTTAAATTCTTAGGGCATATAAATATGTAAAATCATGATAAGTACAGATGATCAAAATTAAATGTGGATAAAATTACTTCTATAGTTCGTCACTGGTGATTATGTTTTAGGGTTATACAGTCAATTCCATTTATCAAATATGCATTAGTACTTACTCTTGAAGAGAATTTGTCTCAAATATTCATTTATAAAATCTAAAGATGAAGAACTTCATGTTTAATGTATGGTGAATCACAAGGAAGAAATAACATTTGAAATAAATATAATATCTATGCTCTGGTGTAAGCTCAACTTAGCATAGAGAAATCCAAAGTATAAATAAAGAGATACAGAATTCTTGCAAAGGGAGAAAATACCAAGAGATGGAGAAAGTAGAGAGATAAAAGAGGGAAAGGAGATGAAAAAAGAATTGAAATGTGCCATGTACAGGTAAAAACTTCCCAGGAGAAATATAATCACTACATGCTGAAAATGTACACACACACACACACACACACACACACACACACACACACACAGAGACACACACGTGCCACGCTTGCAACCCTGAAAAAAATCCTTGAAATGTTAGTGATTATAAAAATGTCACACCATAAAAGCAACTGTATAAAAAGAATGACTACTTACTGTTTTTTAAGGTGTAGAGTATAGCTTTTCTGATCAATATCGATGATATAAGTCATCTGGAGTAAAGGTTTCAGAAAGTAATCATTAGAAATTCCAACTTCTAAAAATTAAAAAGTTGTAACTTTAAAAAAAGTATGTACTTGTTCACATAAAAACATGTATCTTACACGTTGAAATTATATCCATATATTATTCTAGATTTTCTCAATCTTGAATGTATAAAATAATTATAATTAAACTTAAATCAGAGTCTAAAAATTGAGTATAAATCATTCATCTTTATTACGCATGAGATTTCATTTTAAGATGAGGATTATATTTAAAAATATTTAGTGGTCACTGTCAAAATGTAAATTTTATCTTATTTTCTACTTTATAGTTTACAGTACAAATGTGGTGAAAGTCAAATAATAAGACATGGTTTTTCCTTTTAAGATTAAAGGACTTAACACCTAGCCAAAGAAGTGCTAATATCTAACAGTCTTTATCTCTTGTTCTTTTTTTTAAAGTACTACCAGTGATGAAATGCAGGGCCCTCACATTGAAGTACATCCCCAGCCCATTTTTATGTTTTATTTCCAAGACAATGTCCCAAGACATGTTTATGTTTTATGTTTTATTTTTATGTTTTATTTCCAAGACAAGATCTCCCTGAATCACTAAATGTTCAAAAATCTCCTGGGCAAAGTTAGCTCTTTTAGTTAGTGTCTGTCTTGCTATGCTGACAGGGCTGGCCTGATAATCACTGGAAGTCTTTTTTTGTTTGTTTACTGAATTCTCAAAGTCAAGTTATTCCTCATAGATTTTGTTGCTAGGATAAGCCAGCGACTCAACATGTAGTGACATGCAGATTGAGTTTATAGGGAGTTCATCAAAAATGTTTCTAGCAGTCCTGATGCTTGAGTACATTCTCTATCTGTTGCTACACTGTATTTTCCATGATAAATAACCTCATGATCGATTGTCTTGGTTACTTTTCCCTTCTTGCTGGGACAAAATGCTCAACACCCAAAATTAAGGAAAAAATAGTTTATTTAGCTCACAGTTTGTGGAAGTTTCATTCCATAATCAATTGACTCCAAGACAGGGTGGCATGGCACAGGTGCAACAATTCAAAGAAGCAGAAGGGATCAGGGATTTAGTTCAGCAGCATAAGTGCCTGCCTGGCAAGCACAAGGTTGATCTCGAGTACCATAAAACAAACAAAAAAGTAGCATAAGATAGCAAAAGTAGCAATAACAAAACAGTGAGAGAGAAAGCATCTTTCCCTCTCTTATATTGTAAGCAGGTTATCCCCTCATAGGGTGAGTATAGCACTCACATCATGTCAGTGCCCTCTTCTTGCATAGGATGAGGATAGGGCTGGGGATTTAGCTCAGTGGCATAAGTGCTTGCCTTGCAAGCATGCAGTAGTGAGTTCGAGCCCTGGTACCGATAAAAAAAAAGGTGGAAGCATAGGATGAGGATATTTACAAAATGAAGATCCTAGCCCCCTGCTGAGTTATTTCATTAAACTTCTAAACTTCTCAAATTGACATGATATATCAACCATTACAATCCACCCCTTTCAACTTGGCAACCAGACACATCTCTTTAATCTGGTTTCCACATACAAAGACATGTTTATTCTTAACATTTCACAACTTGACCATTATAACACAGCTTTATAAATTCTTAAGAACCAGTCTTAAGTCTATCAATATTTTATTAAATTACATCTATAACATTATGCCTTGGGACCCCCAGAGACTCATGTACAACCCTTTATGCAAAAGGCCTTTAGTCTATCTGCAGAAGTTGCCAAAGTTCTAATAGTTTCAGTACTGCTGAAAAGTCCAAGTCCAAAGTCTCCTCCAAGATGTAAGGCAAACTCTTAGCTACAACTCTTCTACAAGTGAAAACGAAGTTAAACATTTCCAATATTTAATGGCACAAGATAAACACTTTTATTCTAGATGCAGGAAATGGGAATACAATGAATTGGGACCAAAGTAGATCCAAAATCCAGATGGGCGAACATTATGTTCTGCAGTTCCACGTGCAATCTTTAGCAATCTGTGGCATATTATGAGCTCCAAAGCGTCTGGAAGGCCTCCAGTGGTTGAAGGTATCAGGGTTTCTCTCTTGGGCCCACGTTGCTCCCCCTTGCAACTTCCCTTAGATGATCCACATTTCTGGCTTTTCCAAACTTCTGGGGTCTCCACTGCACGTTTGGCTTCATGCTCAGACCTTCACACACTGCCCTCTCAGGGGTACACTGATTGGCCTCCCAGGCCTTCTGAAACCAAGGTGGGAGCCTTTTTAACCACACAACTCTTGCATTCTGCATGCACCTAAAGTCAGAAACACACAGATGATGCCAGGGTCTGTTACTGCTGGAGCAGTAGCCAGGCTTTTCTCTCTTCTCTGTAGGAGTCAAGTGTCTGGATCACTGGGCACTCTGAATCCAAGCCTGAGGAACAAGTTTTCTGTGCTGCCACTATTTTGGAACATGGTATTCTGCAGTTTTTTCCTCAAAGCAGTCTTTCACTTTTGTAGTTTTGAATCTGTAAAGGATGAAGACTTGCTGCTTCTTGTGATTTCCTCCAGCCATCTTTTGTATTCTCCTATTCCTTATCAGCAATTGAGATCTCATCAACTTTGCAGTCCAAAGCTTTACAAGAGCTTCCTTCCTGGCCAAACTCACATTTTAAGTCATTTTGCTGGCTCTTTGCTCTTGATTCTCAACATACGTATGGCTAAAAGCCTCCAACAACAGCCATGTCACCGTCTTAACGTTCAATTGCCTTGAAATTTCCTCTTCCAGATTAATTAGTCTGCCACCCTTAGTCGCAGAAAAAGCTTCTGGACACAAGAAAAATGCAGACAAAATTTCTGTCAAGCCATAACACACATTGTCTGGACTCTAGCAACCAGTGCAGTCCTTCTCAACCAAAATCTCCTGAGCCTGGTCTTTACTGGCTTTCTGTCATTCAGAGTTCTAACCACAATCTCCCATACAGAATTGCGTAAGGCATTTCAACTCTACTCTTCCAGGCCACATCTCTCAACCTTTCTAACTTTTCCCATAAGCCATTCACAAAAGGCCTTGAACCACATCTTCAGATATAATCACAGCAATGACCCCACTTCTCTGGTACCAAATTCTGTGCTGGTCACTTTTCTCTCATTGCTGGGACACAATATGACACCCAAAATTAAGGAAGGAAGATTTATTTAGCTCACAGTTTGTGGAAGTTTGAGTCCATAATCAGCTGGCTCCAAGATAGGACAGTATGGCGGATGAGGAACAGTCCAAGAGGTAGATGACAGCAAAAGCAGCAAGAGCAAAAAAAGGTGTGTGGGGGGGGCAAGCATCCTTTCTTTATATTGTGAGCAGGCTACCCCTACAAGGGGTGTGCAGCTCTCCTACTATCTCTGGGTCATCCTCTTGCCCAGGATAAGGATGTTTACAAAGGGAGGACCCTGGCGTCCTGCTGAGACACTTAGTTAAACTTCTAAACTTCTCAAGTTGACATAGTGTATGAACCATTACTGTGACACTCTGTAGGGTCTAGTCATCCCAACAAATATCAGAACTGGGGGAAACAGTTCAGTCACTTAAATACAATCATATTTTAATCAAAGTCCCTTGAATAAATTGCTCAACTTTTATGAATATTTTCTATTATTGATGTCAATCAGCTTTTTTTTTGGGTGGGGGGGGGGACCAGGGATCGAACTGATGGTTGCAAGCTTGCAAGGCAGGCTCTTATGCCACTGAGCTAAATCCTTGGCCCTTAACCAATATTTGAATAAACACTGCTTATGTGCTAGGGAACTGGATTGACAATTTCTGTAATGTTAGTTTTCATTTTATATATGCTGAGGGCATTTTATGTCTTATAATTTTAAAATTGTTGTATGTCCCCAGTGAACTGAAAAGTCTATCATTAAGTCATGATTGTTACTCTTCATGATGGCATGTATGTGCCGTCAGAAGTTATTATCATGGTTAACTGTGGTGAGTGGCTGAAACTGGAGATTGACCACATGTTGGAGGCTAATGCAAGGCAAATCCTGAGAATACAGAGAGCCTGAGGTGAACCACATAATCAAGCTGTTCCATCTCTGAGAATGCAAGGTGTCTAGCCAAGCTGGGCAAACAAGTTTCTAGGCAGAGGGGCTGAAATTTACATCAACTTGCTAAATGTATAAATAAATGTGCTGCAGTGGTTGGGCAATTCCTTTTCCTCCCATTTGAAGAGAGGGCTCCACCTAATCCTAGCTTTTTGTGTCTTGTCTTCATGTCTTCACTCTCTTGCTACCCTTCATGGTTCTCACCCCACGAAGTTCAAGAGCTCCATGGGTTGTGGGACAATGGCGCCTGGGCAAGGACCCAAGGTATGAGGAAATTCATCATTTAGCACATGAGGACACCTCTAGTGTGTGCACAAAAGGGAGAGAGCTGTATCGATACTCAGTACTGAGCCCTTCAATATCAGTACCAATAGCATGCATACTGTGCCCATATGAGGTATAAAAATGGAGTAAAATGGGTTCTCATGTTGTCATCTTGATTCCTGTATTCACTTTCTTCTTGTGCATTTGGATTAGAGTGCCTTAATGGTCAAAGTTTATTGAGATGACCACAAAGTATTTGGCTTGGAGCACTATTTTAAAATCAAGTTTCAAGTGGGAAAAAAAGATAGTAGCCTCCTTGATAGAGTTTAAGACCTTTTGCTTTACTCAATTACATAAAGGAGGAGCTTGGGGACCAAAAGGACCCCTTGTCATTAGAGGAATGTTTCACTGCAAATCCAATTTCACAATGCCAATAACATTATCTAAGACACAAGCAGAAATTCCTGCCTTTTCAGAAATTTTGGTGTATCACAGGTTGGAACTTCCAACTCTCAGGGAGTCTCATTCTCTCTCTTGAGAAACTGGCTGTAAAAGAAGCCAAATGGGCAAAGGAGTCCATGGAGGGTTTTCCACATACCTACCCTGTTACTTCAAGTCCCTAATATGCCAGGACAAATTATAATGTATTCATGAAGCTGTACCCCTTAAGATCTTAAAAGAATTGAAACAAGCTACTGCTACCTATGGCCCTAAATCTCCTTTTACCTTGGGTTTAATGGCACTCCTAGAACAACAAATGATGGCACCAAATGATTGGAAGGGAACAGTTAAAATATGTGTAAGTGCAGAGGATTATTTTGGAAAATAAATTTTTTTGAATTGTGAATGGATCAGCCTGCTTGCAAAACCACACATAGCATGGCCATTACAAATGACATGTTAACTGGAAAAGAGGCCTTTGCTGTCACAAATAATCAACTTACTTTGGAACTGAAAGTATATGAACAAATTAAAATAGCTGCCACAGGGCTTGGAGGGAACTTCCTTCAAAGGGTGACACATCCCTTGATTTGACTTTCATTCATCAGGATGCTGATGAACTATTTCAAGACTTTGTGGCACACTCATTGCAGGCTAGCCAGAGGATTATAAGTGACACGGAGGCTATCAAGTTAACTGCTGCACAACTGGCCTTTGAAAATGCAAATAAATGGTATAGAGAGGCTTTATGAGCCCATAAAAAACAGAGCATGCTGTCTGAGATGATTCACATTTGTGTAGACATTGGCCCTCATATGTAAAGTGTGGCAATTATCACTCAGGTTATTCATCCACAGCCGGAGGAAAGGGAAAGAACATGGGCACTTGTTTTGGTGTAGGAGTGAGGGACATTTTGCCCAAAATTGCTTTGTTGCACCTATAGGGTACCACTATCTATCACTTCAACAAATCCCTTTACTATCTGTCCAAAATATAGATAAAGATATCACTGGGCCACTCAGTGTGTATTCAAAGTTGATGTGGCAGACTGAGCTATACAAGAAAACTTCTAGCAGGGGTTGCCCCAGCCCCCAACATTGTAGGGGGTGCTATAGTGTGGACAGCTTCCTTGCGAGGGCACAGCTCAGCCCTGCTCAGAATGGCAGGTTGAATTCAAGTAATACCTGCATTAACTAACCTTTTACTCTCCATCAAGGTCAGTTAGGCCTCCTCAGGAATTAACTTGGAACCCGTACAGCACCTCTTAGTACTCTTGTCACTGTCAGTCACCTGCATGAGTCATGGCCACTGCTTGGCCAAGTCGCCTTCTATGAAAGCTTGGGAGATTTTTTTTCTCTTAGTGACTCTGCTTAGGCACACTATACACAGTTGAGCACTTTCCTCTGGGGTCCTGCAATCTCCTTGATCAGAAGAAGACCGAGGACTCACTGAGTTATAGGCTGTCACAGCAAAGGTTTTCTTACATCCTAAGTCCTCATTCACCTTGGAGGGCTGGGGCTCTCCTGCTAGCCCATCTACCTTTCTAGTTTTTCATCTCTAAAGGTCAGCTATTGAATATCCAGAAGATTAATGACATTGCATTTTAATAGAGGCAGTAAGCTTAGTATTACCATCAATATGAATATTATGCACGCTAGAACTTAAAATAATATTTTAAGCCATTATTTTCTAGCAACCATGGGTATTCTAGTATTTACATCCTTGTAAAGTGTTAACGAGTGGTTACACATTTTACAAAGAAAATTAGAAATTAAAAACCATACATAACATTGCAGCATGACAATCATGATGAAATTTTCATAACACTCCTGAATTTTCATATTGACATAAAACAGCCTTTGTAATCAGTCACCTTTATCTAGTATATAAACTTTTACCTAACTTATTGACCTTTAATGGGATACATAGCTCATAAATTTTTGTAAACGGCAGATGTCTGAATCTGAAAGAAAAGTCTATTACCATAAATAATCCCAGTTTTACATTTTCGAAGACCTGTTTATCTGGAGGCATGAATAATTTAATATATGAAATTAATAATAATCAATTGCCAGAGACATATGAAAATGAAATCAGAAACCTTGCTCAGAAAACTTATGATGATGACCAAAACAAACATATCACAATAATATATTTTTAATAACATTTATTGGAGTGTTTCCCATAGATTGGAACACATCAGGACTTCCTATTAATGAAAAAAGGCTGTGATAACTTCACAGTCAGCTGCTCCTTTATTTACCAAAGGGGGTCTTGACCAATATTTCTCCAAGCACAAAAGGCTATCTTAACAAATTTCTGATGACCTCTGAGAAAATCCACTTTGATGTTATTTTGATCAGTTGTCAACCCAGATAGAAGCATGCTTTTCAAATATATAAACCAAGTTAAATTTTGAACAAATGATCCAAAAGTGCAAAACAAAAAGAAACCTAAACTGGCTCTGGTGGCACACTCCTGTAATACTAGCACTTGGGAGGATGAGGCAGGAGAATCATTTGCAAGTTCAAGACCAACCTGGGCTACCAAGTGAGCCCAAGGCCAGCCTGAACTGCGTAGAGAGACCCTGTCAAAAGGAATGATAAAAATAACAGTTCAAATTTTAAAAACTCAAAAAAAAAGTGTCCAAACTGCTTGCAGTGAGCACACTGGTCAGCTGTCAGGCATAAGGTCTGCTACCAGTTTTAGGCTGTCAGGCTTGAGGGACTCCCTTTTATCGGTTGCTACAATGAGCCTCAGGAACAGGCTTTCCTGCAGCTAAAAGGAAGGCTTCCTGTTGGGTAATCTGCCTCACACCATTGTTCCTTTTTTTCTTCTTTCTTGGTTTATGAAAACCTTTTGAGTAATCTGAAGTAACTGGGTGGTGTTCATGCCAGCAAAGCCATCCACATTGTGGATTTTCCTTCCAATGTTGAAGGCCGATTATACAATGAAGACAGCATTGATCATCCATTGATTTTCAGGCACTTCTGGGTCAGAGTCTCTCATAAAACTTGGCAGTAACTTCCGTTACCTTGGACACTTTTATTGGCTTTTTGCCTCCTTAATTCCATGAGGAGGGTGTGCAGTATTAATCTAAAGCCTCATGACCATCTGCCCACTGTAGTCCTAATTTGGATGTACTTGGTGGAGGACCGTGTGCACCCAAGCACCAGGGTCACCACAGTGTCAGGGACTTTTGATCTTAGGCAGACTTGGGGCCTATCTAGAATGCAGTGGTGTTGTTCAGTATTAAAAGTCAGAAGGAGCTGCTGACAGCCATGCCATGCCAGCTGGTGGGTCTGGAAGATGGATGTAAAGAGGTCAGTCATTGCTTGCAGTTTGAGTAGGATGGGGTATGGTAGTCCCAATTCAGGTGATCAGTGGAATTAACTGGCTCATAGTAACATCAAAGATGGTTAGTTGGGTACACTTCTCTGAGCTCTGGGGTAGACCTGTCTTGTGTCCCTTCCCTTTCTTTTGGATCCAGCAAAGGCAGTTAGACCTGAGCAAAGGGTTCTGGTCTGGGACCTCTGAGGGGACTCAAAGAAGGTCTGGACTGTGTACCTTATCCTCGAGGAGCTTGGAGAGGTCCTTGATTTGGCTACCAGGCCTCGGCCAGGACTACATTGGTTAGCACAATCCTCTTGGTTAGGAAACCAAGCCATGTTATAGAAAACAGATTAAAACACTGGAAGAAATGGCACCAAGAAGGTTCAGAAGGTTACTTGTGAGCCTGACTGGGATCTCTCCCAGTCAGATCCCATTTGGCGTGGATTTGGGGAATTTATGGGGAAAGCAAATGGGATGTACAGAAGCAGATTTGGCGCATTATGGTTGGGGGGTTGAGTGGCTCCATGGGTTGCCAAGGGAGTTTAAACATCTCAGGTTACATTGCAAGGCCATCAGTTAAACAAGTATGGGTTATATAAAGGAAGGAATGTTAAATTATTGGGCTTCCAGGCATGTCTGTTTTTTTTGTTTTGTTTTTCAGACCGGGTCTTGCTGTATAGTTCAGGCTGCCACTGAACTTTACTATGTAGCCCAGGCTGTTTTCAAACTTGCAGCAATCCTCTTGCCTCAGCTTCCCAAGTGCTGGGATTACAGGAGTGTGCCACTATACCTGGCTTGTCTGTTTGGTTTTGGTGTACATTCATGGCTGATTTTTATTTTTAAAACTTAAATTTCTTCAATATTAGTTACAAAAGTAAATCTTAAGTTTCTAAATAAATCAAAAAGCCAATAACTTTCTTATATAATGACTAAAATATGTTTGCATATCACTAAATATTAATCTCATTCACATTTGCTATCTTTAAAAACAGGCTGATATTTAAGTTCCTCACATCACTTTGAATAGTCTAATTTAACTTTACAGTGCACATGATTTACTAATTTGATTGAAATATCATTAGTTTCACAAAAGATGTATGGTATATATATGCAAATGTAAGCATAACCTTTATATATTGTTATTTTTAAATGTTATAAGTTGTTAGTATGACCTTATAGACCCATAGAACACATATTAAGATGTAAATATTTTCAAGATAAACGGTCCAGGAAACTCTATGCTATTTCTAAGATGGGGACTGTAGGCAGTTTTTTTGAGTTTGTGTTTTAAAACATGTTCGTAATATTCATACATTACTTGACAATTTTTTATTTTAAAAACAAAAAATGACAAAAATGATATAGAATTTTAAAAAATAGGAAATTAACACTAGTTAATATACTGTATATTGTTATTTTGAAAGTAGTTGCTCAGATTACAAGATTTAGTCATAAAAAATGGTCAATCAGACAATTAAAACATAACTGTTCTTTTTGGTAGAGATAAGTTGCTCTCTATCTTGTATATATTTACATACACATATATGTATATGTATATATATATATATATACATACATAATATTTCTCCTTTTCTTTCAAACTCTTAATGTTACTTTAAAAAAAAGGTTCTTTTACACAGTAAATTAGAACCCAAAATAAGGGATCTATACTGACTTGAGTCACAAACTGCTGCAGAAAGGAAATTGCTCAAAATTCTTGACCCTCTACCTGTGGTCCCCGCGCCTGGCCATTCCCATCGTTCTCCACCCAGTATGGCACCGTTATATACAGTTGAGAATCTGCAGGGCAGAAACATCCGTGAGCTCCCCAAGGGCAGCCGCACCCCGGTTCCCGCGCCCCGTGCTGCCAAGCCCCGCCCAGGGCCCTGCGGCTCCGCCCGCCCGCCATCTCCCCCCCTCCCCGTCTCCGCCCTATCAGCGGGGCGTTCGGGCGGTGGGGGGGCCCGGTCTAGGTTTGGACGCCGTGAAGCTGCCTTTAGGCAGCACCCGAGGCCGCGGTAGGCAGGGGCAGCGTCTCTGAAGCTCAGCGTCTTCCTTACGCGGGCTGGAGAAAGCCGCCAGCCGAATCAGGCCCAACAGGAGAAGCAGGAGAGACAGCATGGCGCGGCGTTGGCCTGGTCGTTGGTCTCCAGCTCGCGGCAGGGCCGAAGCGCGGGGGCGGGGCTGGAACGGGGCGCGGGGCGGGGCTCGGCGCAGGCCCCGCCCACTTCCTTCTCCCAACTTCCTCGGAGCCAGATCCGCTCAGCTGTCGCAGCAGGAGGGCTCAGCAGATGGTGCCAATGGGCACCTGGGCTTAATTTACAGAAGTTTGACTTTTAAAGGGTGTTCTGGTTAACACAAGGGTTTTATAAAGCCTATATTCTCCTTTAGACATTCGTCGGGAAGGGATATTTCATGTTATACCTTTCTAGGACAATGGTTGAACTACTGTAGTTTAAGGAAAAGAGACAAATCCAGATTGCATTTAGTTTTAGCCCTACCACTGGAGTTTTACTCTTTAAATCACGCGTCAAAATCACAAACACGAAAACAAGTTGAAAGTTAATTCTTGTATTATAGTGAATTTTAACTCTTAGACCTCTAAGAAATTCAAACAAAATGTTATGTATAAATGTGTACATAATTTCATAACCACCATGTAGGTTATGAAATTGGTGCATACTCAAGCCTCTTACAGAATATCGTGTTATATGTAGTGTTTGCATAAAACCTACACTCATATTCCTACATACTTTAAATCATTTGTACATCATGCCTAATTCCTGATGCAACATCAGTGTTATGTAAATAGCTGTATTGTTTGGGGAATCCTGAAAAGAAAAAAAAATCTGTATTTTTAAAAAAACATTTTAGATGCCCACTTAGTTGAATCTGTTGATGCAGCACCTGTAGAACCCATAGAAACTATGGCTCTAGTGTAAGATTTTCACCACCTTAGTATTGATTTATAATTTATGTTAGGCAAACAAAAAATGTAATTATAAAATACCCCATGAAAACAATTACAATCCACTTATTTATTCAGTTTTGTATATTATAGTGTTTAAGAAAAATCCATGGCTCAGGGAGAAATAAATGTATAGCAAGACATAGAAGTTTGCTCTATAAATATGAAACTCAAACATTGAAACATAATAGGGTTAACTTAGGAAGAATTTTATTTTCATATTGTAGGTTGTTGACTCCTAGTTTCAATTTTTTGCAAATATTTTATTCTCATAACACATGGTAAAATACAGAAAATGAAAAATTGCCATCTTACTCATTTTGAAAGCATTCAGTGAATTAGCATCATTGTGCAGTCATCACCACCACCCATGTCCAGAGCTCTTTCATCTCGTAAAACTGAAGCAATAATAATTCTTTGTATTCACATTTCTCTCCAAACATGGCAGCCATTATTCTTTTTTCTGTCTCTATAAATAGACAAAAATAGGTCAATAAATGAAAATGATGGCTCAGTAGGACACACGAAGTTTACTGCATGGCTTTTTAAAGATTGCTATTACAATCAAATGGGAGGTATTTCCATGCATAGTGATGGAGAAAATAGATCTACGTAAAAAAAAATCTTAATTCTTACTTCACATCATACATATTAATCAGTGAAAAGTAGATCACAAAAAACTATACATGAAATGATCATAAAACTAAATTCTACATAAAATGTAGGTGAAGATGGTTTGTTGCGTTAAGAAAATATTCCTTAAATAGAAAAAAGTAATGATAAAACTCATGTCAACTTTAATTCATTGTTGTTATAAATGCATGCGCATTAGATTCCATTACATGAGTATAAAAGAAGCCACAGACTAGAACATATGTCTAGTACAGTTATTAGATGAAATATTCACGTTCTGAATGCATAAGGATTTCCCAAAGCAGTAAGAATAAATGCAAATTAAAAAAGTATATACTCTTGAAGGGACTATCAAAATAGTGAACTGAACTCTGAAAATACGTTTAAGCTAATTAGTTATAGGTAAATGCATAGAAAAAACTAAAATATGTACAGAAGAATGACTAAGATTTAAAGAAATCTTTCAATACCTTCTGTATGGGAACATACAGGGTCTCTGGGTCTTTCATTTGTTATGGTTGGGTTATTAGGTTATTACAATCACTTCTGAAAACTTATCAGTAACCTCCAAGGAAACATATGCAGTACAGTACTGCTCCTACGACCTAATGATTCCATTCCTGGGTAGGATGTGTACAAATCATATGATGATGCTCATTTTATTCATAATACCAAACCTTGGCATGAATCAAAAGTATAAAAAGTATTAAAAGTATAAATTCTGATTAAAAGTATAAATCAGAGTGTATTATAGGCAACACTCTGATTTGATCATATGACATTGTATGCAATCAGAAATTATATACACTACACAGGTTATGATCTATGTTATTTATGTAGTATTCATGGAGATTAAAAATATTCAGTGAGGTATTTTTGGCAAATTGTAATTGTTTAGAATCATACAATATAGCAATGTTATAATACACACATACAAAGTGTTAAATCACTGAATCAAGCTAATTAATTAAGTGGGTTCATAAACAATATAGGTATCCAAGCAGCCAAACTGATAAATTTGGAATTTAATTAGCTGAGCTCAGTGACCACTCGCGTGGACCCACTTCAAAGTCTCAGTGAGTGGTCCTGAACTGGAAAATTACAAAGCTTTTAAACAGAGAATCATAAAAAAAATCCTGTTGGAAACAATTTAGCTATCTTACATTAATTTTTGGTTGACACCTGTATCCTGCTTCTTTTGTTGAGCAGGTTAATTTTTCTTCTGTGCTCATTCTGCTCTTCTGCAGCTCATTCTGCTTTTCTCATGGGACTTATACCCTGAGTAGTTTTCCGTTGTCCTGGATCAAATACAGGGCACTAGTTAAATGCACGGCTCAAGATGGAGCTAATTAGGCCAAGCTACAACAATTAACATACCTTTACCTTAAATAGTTATAATTTATTCCTCCTGACTGCAGTTTTATGCCATTTGGGTATCAGCCGGCCATGCCAAGGGCTGGGCATTCCCTCTGGCTGCACAGAGGGGTGCGGTGTGCAGCCTCTGAGCCTGCACACTGCAGCTGCCCTTTGGCAGTAGCAGGCAGAAACCTGCACTCATGTAAAGCAGAGCTGTGTTTTATAAAACGCATTTGGGGCGTGACTTGAGGGTTGTAAAGGCCATTGTCTCCTTCAGGCCCTTTGCCGGTGACCTTGACACTCTTAATACTCCATGTGGCAGCTTTCTGGGGGCAATGCATGCATTACTGCGACAAAGGAAAAGCAAGAGAAAGTCACGCCAGGGTCAGGAGCAGCTGCCCGTTTTCAATCAGCTCTAGAAGATTTATGTTTTAAGCTTCAGATCAAAGCAAACATTTAAAAGCCAAAAGTCAATTTTTCTGTCATGCATAAGTTTTATTGTTAGAGAACTAAATAAAAAGCTAAATGTAAAATGTATGTTTTTATTATATTACTATTAATTTATAATTTAAATATCAGACACAAAGATTAAAACTACAAAATAACCATAAAATACATTTATTTATTCAATTTTGAACTCTTGTTTCTTAGAAAAAAATGATGTAGGGAGATTCGGTGAAAGATTAGTCATAAATTTTTCTGTTATGTGGGGATACATAGAAATTAACATAGAAAATTTCATTTGATGGCTAATATTTGGGTTGACCACATGCTAGTTTTAATTTTTTATAATTTATTTTTAACAGGTTTTATATATTTTTATTTTTAAGTTACAGTTTGTATTCATATTGTGCAGCTATCTGCATGGTCCATTCCCTGAACTCTTTTCACTGTGCAAACTGGAAACTCTACACCCATGAAACATCAACTCCCTGCTCCCTGTGGTTCACAAACACAAGAAAAGACACTCACCATCACTGACCCCTGGAAAACCGAAACATCAAAACCCCAGCGAGGTGCAGTTTCATTCCCAACGGGATAATTACTCTACAGAAACAACAAACAAACAAACTGGAAAGGATGTTGGCAAATGGGAGACCAGGTGTGTCGTTGTGGAAATGTAAAATGGTGCAGCCAGTGTGGACACTGCGTGGTGGTTTTTGAAAAAAACTAAAAATAAAGTCACCTAATCTCAGTTTTGCAAGGAGATAATGATGATGATGATGGTGATGATGATGAAGAAGCATGCATGGAACCCAGGGCCTCACATGAGGTAAATCCCCAGCCCTTACTTTGAGCCAGGGCATTGCTGAGTCACTAAATTGCCCGACTGTGCTCACATGTGCAGCATCCTGCCTCAGCCTCCCAGAGTGCTGAGATTACAAGCATTACAAAGGACTAAGACTTTTCCTTCCTTCCTTTTTTCCTTCTGTCCTCCTGCCCTTCTTCACTCCCTCCCATCCTCTAATTTACTTATATGCAATATTTGTGCACAAAGCTGAAATACCAATCGTGTTTCTAGGAAACAAAAAATATGTATGAGGGAGCCTGGGCAAACGCCAGGGAACACCTTTGGCAGAATGCTGAAGTCCACCAAGGGACTCCTGACTGCACCGCTTGTTGCATTGAGTTCTTAGGGCCATCTTGTGGTCATCACAAACATTGCGACTGGAAAGTTTCAGTTTAAACTGACACATACACGATGGTAAAAATAAGATGCAGCTAGTGTACTCGATCCAGCCCTGTTAGGGGTATTGCAAGGTGGCACGCAGCTTCACAGGAGTCTCCAATAAACATACCCCACTCCTGGGCTGCAGGGCTCAGTCTTAGCTGACCCCTGAGGGTCCTCATTAGGGACTGGTTCCCTGGCGCCTCAGGCATCCTCACACCGTGCAGAATGCAGGGCCTCCCGGATCCGTGGAAGATGGCCGGCAGCCCAACTCGAGAAGTAGCCCTTGAAGGGACCACAGTTTGTGCTCCAAAGCACACTTATTGTAATGTTAGGAAATGAAAACAGCTTTTCGAAATTCACAATAAGTGCCTGCATTTCGTGATGGGCACCCACTCTTTATGTGTCAAATGGACTCAGATACCCAGGATGACCCAAATTTGTGCTGGCCAACTAGGGGTTGTCTGCCTTCTGATCCCCACAATCTCCTGACTGCTGCCCTCGTGAAGCAGGTTCTTTCCCACCAAAAATATGTATGGCAAATTGTTCAGCAG